CCCCTCATGAAGCAGGCCTATAAAAGAGCGATTTTTAGCTCATTTACTGGGAGATTTTTTCTAAGAGTTTGGTCATGAAGTATCTTTGAACCAGAATATTTCGCGATTATGCTTTTTCTCTCTCTCTCTCTCTGACTTAGAATCTTTTCATACTTGGTGTTTTTATCAAAATCTCTCGTAAGTAATGTAATTTAAAAAAAAAAAAAATAACATCTTTTTATTTTTTTTTAGTTTTAAATATTTATAAATTATTAAGACGATTATTTTTTTTTGTATTTTGTGAGTTGTTCCAATTAAGAATTTTTTTAATTCTTTAATTGGAGTGTCTATTTAATAAGTGCATTTCGAAAATCTACCTTAGCACATCTAGCGGTTGAAACTGTTGTAATACAATAGTTTGTGACGTGTCACTAAGGAGATCGTAGAATGTATTTTAAATTTAAATAGATGCGTGTTTGATTGATTGCACAAGATACTGATGGTTTGTTGAGATCATTATCCTAGCACATCTAGCGGTTGAAATTATTGGTAAAACAATAATTTGTGACGTGTCACTAGGGATTGATTCTCATATTCCATTACGTTCTTTTCGGCAAGCAGTTTTTGACTCTGTAAGGTCCGTGCATCGACGAGTATAATCTCCGATGGTGTAGCCAGCCTGTCTCTAACTCTGTCGACTCTCATGTCAAATACACAATTTCATAAAATATCGATAGTTAATTGAAGTCATTACCCTAGCACATCAAGCGGTTGAAATTATGTGTAAAACAATAGTAATTTGTAACGTGTCACTAGGGATAGGTTCTCATAATCTATCTGGTTACTTAAATTTTCATTTTAAAATATAAAGTAACACATATATTCAAACACCAGGTATAGAAAGGAACTACAGTGAAGTAATATTTCAAGTTTAATAATTTGCATAATTTTACAAAAATAAATAAGTAGATAAAAGTCAGAGCTCTCTTTATATATTTATATTTTTTTTACGCAATAAACGATCAAGCTAGCTGGACACAAGGTAAGAAATTATATTTCTAAGCATGTCATAAAAATTAGAAAATAAACTTAAGGTAAATCAAGAATAACTTTTGTCAAGCAAATAACAGATAATAAAAAAAAAAAAGGAAAATATTATTAATAGCTACTTAGTCACCATTCAGGACGCAACAGCTTTCGTTCAACATAAATACTTAGTTTATATTTAATACCTATAAAAAAAAACAATTTAGCCATTAAGGCTTGGCGCCCAACAACTGGACAGTTGCAATTTACGTAAACACACACAGTTTATTATTTCTATAACACAACCACTAAATATTAAGAGTCGTAAAATTCTTCTCCTTAATCGTTGCACGTTTCATTGTGCGTCATACACAAGTGATTTACTTGCGATCTATATTTTACGACAAAATATGAGTGGTCATTATATCATAACAAAGAATTTATGTTTATATGCCATATGCTTTTATTTTCATTTTGTAGCTAAACGAATTTCAAAACTCCGGTTAACATAATATTTATATTCATATTCAATTTAATTATCCTCTCATTGATTTTCATATAAAAAAAATTATTTATTAGATTTCACCATCCCAATATACAAAACATTAACCTATTTAACACTTTTTTTTATGACAAAAATATTAAAAAATGCTTCCATGCAAATCTGAAAACAATGATAATTTTTAGAAGAAATTATCAAATTATCCATAAGCAACAAAAACTCCTATTTTATTATTTATATCCTGATTATTAGTTAAATGATTAATAAGAACAATAAATAGATTAATACTTATCATAGTAATTAATTTTAGAATGAAATTGATATTTAATTATCTAGTATTATAATATTTATGGATAAGTTATAAGTTATTGTATGCAAAGTGATTTCTTTAATATCACCCACTCGATTTCTCTTAAAATAATAATTATAATAAAAAAATTCTTTATAGTATTTTTTAATTTTAAAAATTTGACAATTTATTTTAAAAAACGTAATATTTTTGGAAATCTCCACTATTTACGGAGAATGAAGGAAATTTTTTCAATTTTTGACGCTAATGTCTTAAAATTGATACTTGGTTGTTAAAAAAAATCTATTGTTAAATTTAGGTGAAACCAAATATCATTTTTTTAGAAATGATTTATACAATAATATATTACCAAAATAATTGAAATATTATAAATTGGTAATAGACCATAGTAAAATAAATTAATTAATAACAAAGTAAAATAATTTACTTTTGTTGTTGGAACGTATTATCATATCAAACCTAGTTGAACAATAAATACTTTAAAAACATTAGAAACAAATAGTTTTAATTGTCTATATAAAGAATGTAGGCTAAGTAACTTTTTAATTGATAAAGTGAACATTTTTTTCAATTTTTGAAAGTAATATCTTCAACTAGATATAATTTGTAATCGTTTGAGGTATCGCTGAGAAAAATTGGTTCAGTGAGAGCTGAAAAAAAGTAATAACAAACAGAAAAAAAATAAACACATTATAATAAAATTATTACCTTCTCAGTTTCCCAACTAAACTAATATTTGAAAAATATATAAATTTGACTACTAACTTATATTTTATGTCAACTTTCTATTTAAAGTGTAAAGATTTGTATTGATACAAAAAATATTTTTGAATTTTTTACATCTCTAACGTATAAATAATTTCAGATATGTTTAAAATAATAAATATACTTTATTTTGTTAAATTTTTTCTTTATTTGTTTGTTTCAGATTAGAATTAACTCAAGATGGAACACATCATATACATATTTCTCATTACAATCAATTAAACTCTTTAATTGATAATTTTTTATCTGGAAATTATCTACCTCACTTTAAATAAAATAATTCTAATAAGTTAAATTTAATTTGTATATTTTTAGTAATTCTAATAATTTCCAAGTAAAAAATTTTATGCTTGACTTTTATCAATTAAAAAATTTATTTTCAAACAATATAGAGAAAAAAGCTATTTATTAAAAAAAATTAATATTGTATAATACGTTTAGTATTTCTTGTACATATCACACTATATAGGTCTATATTTAACAAAAGTTTGGTTAATAAATAAGAAAACAAGTAAATTTTTATGTACAATGAAATTAAAAAAAAAATTTCCTTATTTTTTGGTATGATTGTAAACTCTCCCAATTGAATTTTACTTCATATATTAGAAAAAATACTATATATTTTCTGATGATATAATTTTAATAAAATATTTTCATAATTTAGATTATAGTTAAATTTTTAATTTGATAAGACAATTTTTTATTATTTATAAGATAAATGTTATTCTCATATTATTTTTAACCAAGATAAATTTATTTTTAAATAGTTATTTTCATTATTGTAATTAACCATATATATATATCATAAAATGTGTTTTTATATAATAATTAGTTTATATTAAGAAACAAATTATTATTTTTCTTTTTGTAGTTATTACATTTTTCTATATGATCTTAATATTTTAATAAATAATTGTGAGTTTATGCCATTTTTTTTTTATTCTTGGTAGCACACTAACGAAATAATGCACAAACATATTAAACATTACATCCATTAAATTTTAAACGCAATTATTTGATGTTAATTTTCAATGGAGGAAGTATAATACATTAAAGAATTTTTATGATACACAATTATTAATTTTTTTATTTAAATATGATAGATGTATATTGAAACATTGAATGTGATTAGTAGGACGTCAGTTATTTTACAAATTTTTTATCCTTTTAGGGACTTACATTTTTTTACTAATATAAAAATATTAAATTGATAATTTAAAACGTATCAATTTAAGCTCAAAGTTTGAATTATATTGTTTTTTTAGAAAATTATTAACTTAAATTTTTTTATGCCAATTTTAACATAAATACATATTTTGTATAATTTATAATTACTTAATTCAGGATATAAAAATATTCCTCAGTAAACACTGTTATCATTAATTTCATTTTACCTATTTATTTATAGAATTATGTGGGATAATATACAAAGACAAACTAAAATATATATACAAAGTGAATCCTTAATTACATATTAGTTAAATATGAGAAGAAATCATTTTATTTTTTTAATACTAATGGCTTAATGTTGAGATGTTTTTTCATGAAAAAATTAATTTTTTGTTACTATCCTCTATACCTTAAATTTGCATTAACTTTTGGTTTTAAAATTGCATGCCCAATTTATTTTATACCATTAAATTTATTAAATTGGAAAAAAATTGTTTAATACATTTTTTTAAATATTATTCAATGTATAATGAGATAAAACTGTTTAATTTTTAAGGGCAATTAGAAAAGAACAGTGTTTATTTTTAATAGACAGCAATATTATCATGTTGTATATCAAAAAACGTAATATGTTCATAGACACTCAATAAACTTTACACCTTGTCATGTCATTAAACGGTAGCACAAAATTTATTTTTACATTAAAATAGCTCAAGAAAGAACTATTATTGCTAAAAATATAAAATAGTGATTAATTCAAATATTTTCAATGTTGTTTTGTGACTAGTATCACAGCTTAGAAATTAATCTTTATATTTCTATTTAAGTATTCACTTAACATTTAATTTATCGTAATGTGATTCTTATAACTAACAATTATGATCATTATTTGTTGTGTATTTGAAAGAATCTAAAATGAGAGCACAAAACAGTTTTATAATTTATTTTCTATAATTATTTTGTATTATTGCTTACGCTACACTAACTTCAAGGTATTATGAATTAATCTTCTGCTGCAGTTTACATTTTTTTATAATTTGTTTAGTAACCAAATGAATATAATTATTGGCTATAAAAATCTGATTACTTCTTGTATCACCACGTAAACCACTAGCAATCAATAAATACACAAAATCTATTATTTTTATGATTTTCGTCACAACATTTTTGTTAACGTTCACGATAGCAAGTTAATTTATTTTGTTTTACTAAAACTGTACAAAGTGAAAATTACATTAGAAATNTTTTGTTTTACTAAAACTGTACAAAGTGAAAATTACATTGGAAATGGACACTTACAGAAAATTAAAAAGTAATAATTTTTGATGTAAATTAACAATTTTACAATTCTTCTTTCTTCTTATTAATTGCTCGTAACATTTTCCCATGTTAAATATTATGTCATCGTATAAAATCGCTATCTTAACTGTTCTAGAATTAATATTGAAAGGCATCAAGAATGAGTATAATGAAAACGGATTTGGTAACAGTGTACTTAAAGATGAGAAATTTGTATCAGTTGAAGCCTCAACTGAGAAACATCAGAATTCAAAATCTAAAAGTTATGGTCAAAAATTTGTTTTACGAACTTTTGGAGTTTTAGTCGGTTATAAACGTAAAAATTTATCTAATAATGATCAACATGAGAATTTTATTGCATTGAGTTCTGGTGACCTGTCATATAAAAAAGACAAAGTTTTGGGTTTAAAAGATTACAAAAAAGATTCAATCAAATCTGTGGGTGAAATTTAGAAAAAGTTGTACGGAATTTCATAGAAAAATTTTGAATGATTTTTAGATTATGGAGTTGAATCCATCCTGTTTTCTGAAAATTCCTACCTTGTTATTAGGTAGTGGCAATTACTTGGCTTTAAATATAGCGTCTTTTAGCTCCTTTAGCCAAACAGAAGAATGCTATCAAGAGAAAGTACCATCAAAAGTGTTTGAAGAGTTAATTTCTCCAAGACTCGGTGAGAAATATTTTTATGTTTAAAACATACTATAATAATATATTTAAATATAAATTTATTTTTTACGGGTAGTTTAAAAATATCTTTAAAGTATTTATTATTTATTAGGCCCTTAAAGAAAAATGATGTAATCTTTTTTCTAAAACCTTTTTTTTTTTCAAAACTAGTATTAATAAATAAATCATATAAACTTTTCAAGCTTAAACTCGATTGAAAATATTTATGTTAAATTGAAAATAAATAAATAAAAATTTATTTCCATAGTGCTAAAACTTTTAAAAAATGAAAAAGATATTACTTTAAAACATGGAATCACTAATTCGTTATTAAAAGCTCAGCATAGATATTCATGTGATGTAATGGTTTCGGAAAAGACGAGATCTAGTCCTTACAATATATACAAAAAATTTCCTTTAAAGGATATATCTCCTACTGTGTTTAAAAGAACACCCTCTTCAAAACTAGGTATGTAAAAAATCTATTTGTTAGTTGTGTAACTGAAAATTTCCATCTCTTATTTTCTTTAATTTTTACATTATTTCGATAAGATTGGATAGGACACATAATTATTTATATCATTTCATTATGTTTATGTAAACGTCACACTATTTAATTGAATTATGTTAAAAAACATACGTTTCGTTTTTTTCTATTCAATTATTAAATAAACATATTCAAAATTTTAGGTAAACTCATTGAAAAGTTCGACAAGTTTTTCAAGGATAATAGTATTAATTTGCCAACGAATTCCACACATAACAGCACTACGTTAAAAAAACAGTTTGCTCTTGAAGTACAATGTGACAAAGAGACGACTTCTTTATATACGCAACCTAACCATGAGGTTGATTTACAGCCCTTGATTAATATACGTAATAAACCTAATACGATATTGAAAACTGAACATGGTTACTCAGGCAATAAGATAGTTTTGGAAAAAACTAAAACCAGTCCTTACGATGTATATCGAAAATTCCCTTTTAGGGATATTTCTGTCGCTGTGTTTAAAAGAACACCCTCTCCAAGACTTGGTATGTGAAAAAACAAATGTTTCGCATTATGCTAATCAATTATTACATAATCATATTCAAAATTTTAGGTAAACTCATTGAAAATTTTGATAAGTTTTTCAACGCTAAATGCCAAGATTTTTCTTTGAATACTACACAAAATATCATTGACGTAGAAAAAAATTAGATTTTTGAAATCAGTTTGAAGAAATAAGATTAAAATAAACGTATAATCTACTAAAGCGGTTGTATCATTTGAAAGAAATATTAATAATAATGTCAATTTAAACTTTAAATTTGAGGTGATTTTGTAAAGACTAAATCTTGTCTTAAAAAAAAATTTCTTTTGTGGAATACGTCTATCACAAAGTTGAAAAGCGTACTTTTTATAAGACTCAGTAAGTAAAATTTTCAAAGTTTTCATTCATGAAATAGAGATAGCTGTTTTTAATTTTAAACTTATTTTTTTTTTAATTTAGGAAAATTAAAAATGTTTGGTGATTTTGCTAAGAAATAAAGTAATAAATAATACGTTGTCAGTAACAATTTTTAAATGCTAATTAAGACTGCGTAGCATTCAAAATACACTGCTTTAGTTATTTAATTCGTTAAAAATGACAAAACATCAACAAAATCGTTAATTTCACTGATGTTGCACTTTTTATCACAAATCAAAAAATTTTAATACTTGTTTATATCTTTTTTTTTTACATAATTATCTTATTCATTCATCTATATAATCTTTTTGAAACTTTTTGTTCTTAAATTTTTATTTATATCCTACATTCATTGTTATATTATTTTTAATTTTACATTTTATAATGAGTTAATAAATTATTTTTAGTTAATAATTATTGTTAGTAATTTTTAAATATTAAAAATAAAGAACCATATTAGGGGGAAAATGTATGAAATTATATTTTTACAAATAATGTTTATATTATTTTAAAGTCATTTTATAGTAAAACAAGAGGAGTTATGTGGTTTGTGAACGTTTAAAATAAGAATAAATAGATATGTGCATTACCTCAAATCTTTATATTAAAGATTTAATAACTTCTAAAAGAACTATTAATTTTCTTTAAACGATCATTTTTTTATATATAAGATGTTTAACTATATACTTATATATATATTGTGTTCAGTAAGTAAGGAATTTCACCAATGTAGAAAAGAAAATGTTTGGCTTGTATTTTACCTTACAGATAGGAGCACCAATCTAATGTATGCTTAGCTCTCAAATAGATCCTACGCGTCATTTAGACAGTGTGAAGAGAAATAATTCGAAAATAGTAACGAAAATTTTTTCTCAATTTTAAAAATAATACAATAATTGGGGTGCTTAAGTAAAAGATCTAGAAAGTTAGTTGAGTTAATGCAGTTAAAATTAATAAAAAAGAAATTCTAAATATTTAAAAAAAATGTTTGTATGAAGAACTTTGAAGAAATACTTTGTCTCTATTTAGCTCAAATATTACAAAATGACTAATATATTCAATAATGTTTGAAAAGCAATTTGTGGTTAAATTATTTTTTCTAGATTCTGGAGTTACTGTAAATGTTGTCTATCGTGCTGTATGTACTTCTGATCTTTCGAGACATTTGCCTTACTATATAAGTGTATCAAGATACTTTGTAAAACCTATGGCATGGTTATTTTAAAAATCAGCTTCAAAAGGAGCACAAATATTAATTCACACAGCGATAGAGCCTCAATTAGAAAATGTTACTAGACAATTTTTCAGGTAACTGTATTAGAATATGTTTATAAAAAGTACACTTATATGTGGCTAAATAATTGACTACAAAAACTATAATCAAGAAAAAAATTATGTCACCATTGCAATGAGACTATAAACCTAAAGCTGAAAGCATCAGAAAAAAGAAACTCATTTCTCAGTGCGATTTAAAAATTGAAAATTGCAATCTTTTCAATTCATTTGGTTTAGGGAGTAAATAACACATGATTTTAAAAATATCTACTGTAATCAATCAAAAAGGTTTGAAAAAGAATGTTGAATGAAGAAGAGGTAAAGGAAGACCAAAAAAGAGATGGAGAGATGTTATTGAATGCGATATGAGTACAGCTGATGTGAGCATAGAGGATGTAGAAGATCATGTCAAGTGTAAGTTTGGGACAAGGGTGGCCGACCCCAAGTAGTGGAGATTAAGGCGAGGAAAAAGAAGATTAATTAATTTTTATAACATGTTTTTAATTTCATTAATTGAATAACTCGCAGTAACACTAATAGAAATGACATTTATATATTAAATATGATTATTTTCTACAAATTTACATTTTAACTTAATCCCATTTATGCTTATGATGTTCCTCTTCACGTCTCCTTTTTTCAGCCCAAATTTTAATATTCGCCTCACAGTTGGCTGCAATAAAAATATTTATTATACTCAGTAATAAGTCATTTAAAACACATAAATTACCAGCTTGTTGAATCTTATAAAATAATGGCATAGATAAGATGGCAGCACCAATAAACCAAGGGTACATCCAATGATGTTTGAAATGCAATTTGTGAGGGAACTGAACTATTTTTGCAGTGAATGTATATGGAAAGACCATCTTGCGACTTAATTTGTCTTCCCCACCCATCTAGATACAGAAACAAATTATTATAGTCGCACTTATAAAGAAATATCAAATATAATCATTAAAAAATTAAAAGATTGTCAAATTTTGAAATGAATAAATTGATTTTATATGAAATGAGGAATTTTCATCCACATTCCATCAAAAATTGAACATACTTGTATTCATTTTTTCTTAATAATAAAGTGAGCGCATACATGGATATATTCTTTCCAAACAATGTAATAATGTGAAATTTTTTTAATATATTAAAAATATTGTTGAGATTGTTAATTTAAAGCCTTTAGTCAATTTAATTAATACCATCACAATGTAACAATCAATATCATAACTGATAATGATATAATCAATTAAAAATTAAACATAATATTAGTCAAAGTTAATGAAAACAATAGATTTAAAAATTAAAAGGAAATAAATAAAAATTATATACAATATTCCTTGTTAGCTATGATAAAACAATAAAAAGTGTAATTATTTGATAATTTTTTAATGAAAAACCTATTAACAACAATAGGAGTGCTTTAAGTTAATATCAGACAGTATTATTAAAAATTAAGTTATTTTCACAATCAGAATAAAACTTACCTTGTAAATTTCTCAACAAATCAAAACTAAATTTACGTGTCGTTGAAAAGGTAAGAATAATACTTAATTGAAAGATGAATTATGAAGGCAACATGTACTTCAGTCCGTAGCTGCAAATATGTTATTTATGAGTTACCAGTTACAAAACAGCTGTTTTAGATTTATCACTAAAAATGTTAAAATTATAAAAAGCGGGTTATTTTAAAATAAGGATTCATTCAGCATATCGTTATATTTTACACGTACTTTGCACAAATTGCAAATCGTCGGTATATAATGGTACGTAAAATTCTATTTATTCGACGGGACAGTTTTTAGGCTGTCCTTTGCCAAAGCTGAAAGTCATTCAAACGAGGATCATCTTTGAACAAAAGCAAAACACGAAAACACTGTCAAAAAAAAAGTTTTACATTTTGACTATTTTCATATTATATTTTACTATATAGATAGTAAATATTTTAATAAATATATGTATAAAATTAAGAAAAAACTTTTTACCATCCATAATGTCTGAGTTTTTACCACGTTTTATTTTTTATTAAATGTCGGAGTAAAATCCGTCGTGGTTGTGGTAACCTATGGTATCAGATGGTCGGAGTACCAGATGTTTGGAACAAAGATGTTTTCCCTTGTAAATTATCGACTTATCACTCATGATAAAATAGATTTATTTTATAATATTATCACTCATATAAAACTGCTTATTATACTTATCAACGACTGATTAACAATTCGTTCATTAAGTTTTTAACAGGTCACAATTGAAAATTGAAAACTACAAAATGACCACCTTACGACCCTTTAATTGTGATGATTTATTTAAGTTTAATAATGTGTAAGTAATATTAACAGTTATTTTATACATTTTTTATTAATTAAGGAATCACTAATTAATAAAAAAGGTCAATCCCTAATAAAGATTGGGCGAGTTATCTCGAATATATTATGTAACGTTAGATTGTATTAGAAATAATAACTTTATTAAGCAAATATTTTCAAATGACTTATTTTTTAAATTATTAAACTGAAAATAAAATAATAATTCTTTAAAACACATTAGGTAAGCATTAGCATCTTTATATATATCTTTGATACAAGTTAAATGTATTTGAATGCATCTAAAAACCATTATGAAAAATGTTTTTATTTATTCAAGGATCAACCCAAAATAAAAACATTTCATGTGTGATGAATAATTTCTTTATAAGCAGTGGCATAATTACTAGTTCTTATTTAGGGAGCCATAGTAAAAAAAACTCTAACTCATATTTTGGACTATTTTTTAAGATAAATATTACATTTAATGGAGGGGTTATGGTCCCTGTAGCTTTCTCTGTATATGACACTGGTTTAAATGTGTAGTAGTTTTAAAGAAAAAAACCCAGCACAGGGGGGTCGCAGCACAGTGGTGACGTGGCATAGTTGGATCAAGTATAATGATATCTGACAGTGATTAAAATCACTATCAAAAAAAAACGCTTTGATGCAAATCTTTAGATAGTGTTTAATTTTAAAAAATTGGTGTATTATTCCAAAAGCTACATGATCTGCTAGTTCCTTATTAATATCCTGATTAAGATATAGTATGTCCAATGAAAGATGTATATAAATACTACTTCTCATGAAAAAATTGTATTGATCCATACATTTTTTAAAAAGTTATAGCACATTAAAGTAAAAAATGTAAATTATAAAATCGAGAATTTTCACACAAAAATAGCATTCGGTAGCCGTTTTCACCGTGAAGACAATTCCATAGGTTAAATTTTTTTTTTTCAAATTAAAGTACATTACATTAGCTTTAATTTAAGATATATATAAAAGTGTCAGACCTTCCGGAACATTTTCAAAAGTTAAGTTGAAAAAGTTAATTTTTTGTGAAAAAGTTGTCATTTTAAATCCCCCCCTGTGGGCAGATAAAGAGTCAAATTTATGAAAAAAATATATCAAAAGATAGGTAAAGACATCAAGCATCTATAAAAAAAAAAATTATATTGATATGTTCATTTTTGAAAAAGTTACGGCAGTTTTTAATAAAAAAAATTAAAAAAATTAGCGATTTTTTCAATTTTTAAGGGTAATGTCTTCGACTAGATACGATTTGTGATCTTTTGACGTATCGTTAAAAGAAATCCGTTCGGTGAGAGCTGTGAAAAAGTGGTAAGACACAAAAAAAAAACACAAATCATAGTAAAACCAATACCTTCTCAGCTTCGCATCGAAGCTAAAATGCACATTTATAAGAGTTATTAAAATTATTTAAAATAAATATTATTTGATTGAAATTAGATTGTCTAAAGTTTAAAAACTGCAGTGTGCTTATGAAAATAATTTTTTTTTTCAGAAATTTAGATACACTTACAGAAACTGTATCCTTTTAAAATTTACTAAGCAATACAATTTAATTATTAAATTTTTAAAATTAATTTTTTGACATATGAAAGAAAGTAAAAGTTTCTTTATTGTGTACCTTTAACATGTAACCATGTACAAATTCTCTGATAAGTTTTTAAATTATTGATTTTAAATATATATTTTTTTTTTTGTTGATGCCATTCTTAATATTATGATGTAATATTCAAGGCAATTTTTTGTTAATAAAAATATATTTGTTTAGTTTATACATAAAAAATAAAATTAAAAATATATATATTGCAAGATAGAGAAAAAAAACCTATGAGAATTTAAATACATTTTGAAAATATTAACTTAATTGACCGTACAGTAAAAATATTAAAAAAAATTAAAAGCTTATCTTTTAATATCAGCTCTATGGTTATAAGAAACTTAACAAAATGTATTACAGTATGCTATACCATTTTATATGCAATATTTAGCCCATTGGCCAGAATATTTTCAAGTAGCAGAATCACCTACTGGAGAAATAATGGGTTATAGTAAGTGCTATATTATATGTAAAATTATTTAGTAATATAACCCCAAAAAGTTCAGTTTTAATAAAAAAATTTATTGCTAAAGTATTTATTAAAAAAAGTTTATTTCAGCTATGTAGTTACGTCAATTCCTTTTTCAAAATTATCTACACAAGATTTTATTAATTTATTGTAGTAAAATTTGATGTATATATATGGATATAATGTAAACTCATTGCAATTCAAATTAATAGTATCATTTGGTCATATTGTAAACTCATCACAGTTTAAAGGCAGCAGATTTATTATTATTCATTATTTATTATTAACAATCTATTGCTAAAAATATATTTGAAATTTAAATATGTTTAATGTTGTAATGTATAATCACTTAATTTAAGTTGACTGTGATAGTCTGTGTAGTTACTTTGAGTTATTATAGATATATAATTTTAGTAATTTCGTAAAATAATATAAACATATCCCCAACTATTTTAAACAATTCAAAAAGTAAATAAAAATCTATTGAAAATTAAAAAAAAAAACACATTTTTTCCTTATAATAAGATATTATTATTATTTATTAAATGAAAAGTTCACTTAATTATTAATACTACTGCAGCTAATATTTGTTATAAAGAAAAATTAATATTTTAAAATAATTTCAAAAGCATTTGTAATTTTTAAAAACTAATTTAATTATTAATTAGTTATGGGAAAAGCTGAAGGACAACCTGACAATTGGCATGGTCATGTTACTGCTTTAACTGTTGCACCAGAATATCGAAGACTAGGAGTAGCGGGGTTTTTAATGAATTGGTTAGAAGAAGTTTCAGAAAAGTAAATTTTGTTATTATTAATAAGTATTATTATTTAATATAAAACGGCAATTTAGCTTATAATAATTTTTTATTTGCAATTTTTAGTTTTATTAATGTTGAAATAGCTATTTATTTTAAGTTTTTGTCTTGTATAAGTAAACAAGTTGGCAATTTATTGAGATCAAATTTCTTTTCACCAATGTTTTTTTGTATAAAGAATTCAATACTTATTTATTCTTATTAAAAAATAAGTTAGTTAATTTCTAAAATAAAAGTAGTATGTTTATAAAAGAATTGATTAAATATAAATCTTCAATAAAAAATATTGTTAAAGTGATTACTAATGTAAAAAAGTATTTATTTCAGGAAAGATGCATGGTTTGTTGACCTTTATGTTCGAGTTAGCAATACAGTAGCTATATCCATGTACAAAAGTTTAGGATATACAGTATATCGAACTGTTTTAGAATATTACTCGGGAGATCCCGATGAAGATGCATATGGTATAACAGTTTTATTTTACATTGATATTATGATATTTAATATTACATGTCATATTTATTTACACTTATATAATTTTAGATATGAGGAAAGCACTTTCTAGAGATATTGAAAAAAAATCAATTGTACCTCTGGAACATCCTGTAAGATTAGATGATTGTGATTAAATTAATTTTTGTAATAAATATATAAGAAATTTGTCTCAATTTTATACTTAGTTCTGATTAATAATTTATTAAGTTGAATTATTCATTTTTTCCTTCCAATTTTTTCCTTTTCCATGCCTTGGCAGTCTCTAAAAGTTTAAGATTTGGTCTTACTGCATCATCTTCAGGGAAAATATAATCAATTTTTTCTTCCCATCCTCTATCACGCTATATTGAAAGGAAAATAAAAAAATTTTATATCAATATTTAAAATTAAAATTATATTAAAAATATTAATTTAAAACTAAAAAATATTAAAAATATTTAACTCAAAAAGATACAAAAACTATATTTCAAGAACAATGTTACCATTATTAACGCTAAACACATACCATATGTGTAAATATTTTTAATATAATTTTAATTTTAAATAATTTTGGCCACAAGTGATCAATTTTCATTATATGTGATATCAATAGTTACGATATGTAATGCTAAAGATTTTTTTTTACATACACCACTTTCAGAGGTATAAGGAACTCTTTTTTTAATTCTTCTTGGTAACATATTTTTAACTTTTGTTCTATTGGTTTCATCCCCATATTCTTCTTCAAAATTGTACCATGCCTGTAATATACCTTCTCTTTCTTCAGGAGTTCCATTTCTTCTAAGTGCTAGATTACCCCTTTCGAATACTCTTCTTGCTACAGTTATTCTATCTATACCATCCTCTTCATCAGCAGATACTTCAAATTGAGCATAACTCATCCAGACCTTAAATAAGTCATAATGTTAAAGGATATGCTAAAAATAGAAGAATTCAAGAATCTTACTTTAAAATGATTAGTTCGTTCTAATAGCCTTTCATATAATTTCCTTGCTTTTTCTATTTCTCCTTGTGTTGTTTCAAAATCAATATAAGACTTCCAAAGTACTTCAGGCATATCAAGCCTTGGCTGATTAACAGCTAATTCATAAATTGCTCGAGCACGATCTATGTCACCAAGAACGGTTTCTAATTCAGCAAACTAAAATCAGTAAAAAAATGTTTCACATATAAATATACTTTATAATATAAAGATACGATATGTATTTTTAAATATTTAACATTTCAAGTAAAATATAATAATACAAAAAAAAAAAGCCATATAACTATAATTATTTTAGCATATAAATTAGATGTAACATAAAATTCTTTTCAATTTTATCTTAATTAATATTTGTGTTTTTTCTGGACTGTACAAAATAAAATAATCATTATTAAAATATTCATTACTATAATACTAAAAACTTTTTTATAAACAATCAGATGATTGATTTAATGGTTAAATTTGTTAAAGATTGTAAATTAATTAATTTACTTGTAACACGACCACTAGTGTTTGACGGCAGGTCATCAAAGGTGTATAGTAAATAATAAAAAAAAAAATTGTGGCACTACTGCATTAGAAACAGCGACCCATATAGACAAACATTACTACTGTAAACTTTTGATTTAGATCCCAGTACATTACCATAAAGGTTGATAATATAATGTGCGGTTGAAGGAAACGCCACACTGTACTATATTACTTATAAGCATCATTAATTGTATAATTTTAAATAAATTATTCTTCAATATATTCAAGATTACATGGTATAAAAAAAGAATAACCTTAATTTCAAGTGTGTTTCAATTTTCAGAACTATCTTAATTATAAAAAAAATTATGTTCATTCTGGATTCAGTTTAAAGGAGTTGCTTAGAGGGTGAATTTTTAGATTGATATCTGACAGTGATTAAAATCACTGTCATAAAACGCTTTGACGTGTATTTGAAACAAATAAAAAACAAAATTGTCATACTTACTAAAAATTACATCATTTTTTAATTAGAGGCTAATTACTTAAAAAGAACCAGACAATTTTTTTTGATCATTTAGAACAATAAATATTTTGTAATATTATATAATTTAGGATAATGTAAGTATTCCATTACTATCAAAAAACTATAAAATTGTGTGATTTTTGGGACTTTTCTGTTAATATGACGGGATTGAGAGGATTTTTTCAAAATTATGGTGATGATAGCTTAATATAAGAATAATAATAGAATAATTTTCCTAGAATAATATTGTTGAACTCTTTTATTTTAAAAGAAAAAATTAGAAAATCGGACATCATTTGATAATTTTTCAAAGTTATATTATATAATATGATATTATTACTTTTTATTTTTGGAAGTTAATAATAACCTATGGTCTATAATTAAAAGAGTCGGTCCTATCACTACTCTCCCCCCTTGAAAATAACATGAACTTAAGTATTTTAAATAGGAACATATATGTTTAATTACTTCAAAGATAAAAAAATATTTTTAAAAGAAATTAGCACTTTTATACTAGAGCTGAAGAAGTAAAGCACATAAAGTAAAATAAATAGACCATATTTTTTTATCTCTTGGCATTTAAGATCCATTCATTCTACTCCATTCATTCTACTCCTTTCACCCTACTAATATTTATAGTAATTTTCTTAGTTAGATCAATCTATTCTAAGCTTATTTTTTAAGCTAATTAATCATACAAGGTGATCATTTTAGAATAAGAAACTTTATTTTATTAACTTTTATTGAAAACTATTGAAAACTAAAAATTTTCATAAAAGAAAACATTGTTTGATTCAATAAACTCAATTATATGTAGCTAAATGATTTTTTTTATCTTTTCAGGGTTAAAAAACATAAACTTAAATGGAACTTATCTTGAATGGAAACCCCTATTATTGATTACATGATAGAAATAAAAGTTTAATTATTAGTTTTTTTAATTTTTATAGTAATTAGTTAATCAAATAAAAAAAACTATAAGAACAAAATTTTTTGAAAACTTTTTTCTATCATACAATGAAACCAAAAGTACAGATATCCATTTAAGATAATTAAAGCTTAGATTTTTTTAATCTCGAAAAAATAAAAATAAGTTATTTAATTTAAATTTAAATATCAAATACTACTAGTAAAATAAGTTTAAAAAAAAAACAATTGTTTTAGTTGTATTAATTTCCTTTTATACATGATGATTGATACTAAAATTTATAGTATAAAGCCTGTTGTTATATTTAATAAATTTTTGATAAGATTATTCATTTATGATTTGAAGTATTTAATAAAAGTATTTAAATTTGTTAAATTTAAATTAATTTGACAATTTATTCATTAACAATTTATAATTATAAAACTAATTAATTATAATTTTAAAACTTACTCTTATCCAAGTCACACAATTTTCTGGACCAAATTCTAAATATTTTTCATACAATATGCGACAGCGTTCAAATTCTCTTAATTGTATTTCTAAATCAATATAACCTCTAAAAAGTTTATCTCTAGGACATAAACCTAAGGCAACTCCCTATACATATAAAAATTTGTTAAATTAATTTAACAGTAATTAGTAATAAAAATTATGTAATATTTACCAGTCTTTTTCTTGCTACTGATAAATTTTTATGGCGTATCTCAAATTGCGCATAGTATAGCCAAGCTTTGGAAAAAGTAAATAGTTTATGTGGGATAGTGCTTATAAATGTTTGATAAACATCACGAGTACGGTCTTCATCTTCAGCTTCTAGTTCTTCAAAAAGGGCATAGTTGATCCATAAATATACATAACGACGCCAAACATGTTTTTCCTAATTAAACAAAATTATAAATTAATCTAATTAATATTAAAAAAACATATTTACAGAATTAAACAACAAATGTATTTTCAAAGTATAAACAAATACACAAATATAAAAATAAAAAAAATAATAATAAAAAAAAATAATAGATATTTTTATTTAAATAAGAAAAATAAATTTGAATATTTAATATATTTTCTAAAGCTAGGTTTAAATTTTTCAAATTATATAGTGTAGTCTCACTAAGTCAGAAATGTAGAATACATATGCACAATCAATCACTAATTTAAAACTTAGTCATAAGCAGTTTCATTTTATAAAAAAAAGATAAAATTAATAATTGGAGACACCTTTCCTATTTTTATCAATTATTGAATCTAAAGGAAAAAAATTCAGAAATTTTCATCTGAAAGAGCCATAATGTACTATTATGGGCCAATTTATAACCTTTTATTGGTTATGAAAACATATAATTTATTTTTTACTATAACTCACATTTGAAGGAGGAATATTTGCAACTGCTCGTTCATACGTATCACGAATTACCTCTACATTTCCTTCACTTTCAACCAATTTCAAATAATCAAACCATGCATCATAATTTGTAGGATTTTCTTTAACTTCCTGAAAAATTAAGTATTATAATCTTAGTAATAGCATCCTAAAGTATTGTAAGTAATAATCACACAAGACAATAAATAACAAAATTTTATATGAATTTTACATAGAATTTTGAAACTGATTCCAAATCTGGCTTCAGATTTTTTCTACCACATTTAGTTTTTGAGATAATTACTAATTAGTAATTAAGTGATGATTACATAGTAAAATTATCATAACATTTTTTTATTTTTTTTTAATTTTCCTAAAATTATATCATAATGTTTATTTAGAGATGTAGAAAATTTTGTTCTAATTCAAAAAGTTTGACTGATTTTTTGGATTTTTAAAGTTTGGTTTGAGTTACTTCAAAATAAAACAAAACTGTAAAAATATACAAAAAAAAAACAGTATTTGTTTTGATTTTTCGAAATTTTCCTGTATTTTTTAAATTGTTATAAAACTATCTATTTTCTATTTGAAGTTTCATAATTTTAGTTACACTAAAAAAAATGTTTTTCTTAAAGATTCAGCTTTATTTGAAAAAAAGACACTCAAAATCAACTTTAATTATCCAAAAAGTTAGTTTAACTTGATAGATAAGATCCAAATTTTGTACAACTCTAATTTAACATCTTGAAATCATTTTAGGAAAGTTAAAGTAAAAATTATAATTTTTTATGATAATTTTACAGTGTAATCATCATTTAATTACTATTCAGTAATTATCTCAAAAACTATATGGGACAGAAAAAACCTAAAGCCAGATTTAGAACTTATTTAACCACTGTAAAACAAGTTGTCCTGTATTATTAAAAAAATAACTTTTTTCCCAAATGAATGTTTATATGTTCACTGGCCCAATATTATTTAATTTAACATTACTTTTACTTTCATATATATTACTTTATGAGTTATATTGAAAATAGAAATATTAATTAAATATTCTAGATCTAGAAATTTAAGAATTTATTACAAAAATATTAAGAGTATTAGGGCTCAGTAGATATTTAGATGGTTAATTAAAATTGTTGATCTATTATTTATTAAAAAGTTTACTTGTTCATATTGAAGTTTTCTTTTACTACTAATGACACTCTCAATTGCTGTTCTATCACCAAATTTTTTTTCATGAATAGTATATGCTTTATAAATATCATGACATCGGTCTTTTGAAACATGATCTAAGGCATATTTATAAATTACACGAGTACGTTCATGCTAAAACAAAAATATATCACATTAATTATTAATAATTAATTACTACAATATTCAAATAATAATTATAAACCTCTTTTTGACGTTCTTCAAACTTTGCAAAAGCTATAAACAAATTTTCATTAATATGTTCATCACCAAAAAATTCTACTGCTCGTTCAAAAACACTTCTAGCTCCAGCAATAAATCCATTTTGTTCTTCAAATCTAAATTTAAAATAAATGAGTAAATCTATAACATAAGTCAGAAAATATATTCAATATTTCAAAAATATTTAATTTATTACCTAGCATATCTTATCCAGTTAGTAATATCAGGATGAACCATGACAAAGTTATTATAAATTTTTCGAGCTCGATCGATTTCATGGTAACGTAACTCAAATTTAATATAAGTCAACCAAGCTTGTTCTGGAGGTTCCCATTCCATCCATCGTTCAAAAACAGCTCGAGCTCCTTAACAATTTTTATTTTCAAATAAATTTAAGTGCATATGATAATAAATCATTAAATATAAAATAGCAAAAAAATATACCCAAATGATAGTAAAAATAAGTATTATAATTTACAAGAAAAAAATTATTGTTTCCTGCACAGTGATAGGTAAGTGAAAATCTACCAATTTTAAGATAAAAACTTTTCAATTTTAAATAAGAAACTAGAAGTGGTGTTTTTGTTACTTTTAAACTATTTTATTCTCTGATTTTATCATTGTTGAAAAATGCTTCAAAATGAAAATTGATTAAAAAGTCCTTATATAACTCCGAATTAATATAACTCAATGATCACTTGAACATAATTATATGTATATTACTAGAAAATAAGTTTTTCAATTTTATTTGTTACTAATAAATGTATCTGGTGATCAATTATAATGACGAATCCGCAAAAATTAGTTTTTGACGAAATAGTGAATTAAAGGGTTTTGCAACTTTCTATTTAGTCAGTGGAATTGGTATAAAAAATATTCAGCTTGTTTTTGTAGAGTTGATAGTACTGTTCAAAACAATCAGTTTTATAAGATCTTCAAAAATTTATCATATCCATCAAATGTATTATATACTACTTTGTAGTGTTATATGGATATTTATTATAGTTAATGTAGTTACTGAATAATATTAACTTGTTATTAGATGAAAACTTTTAGACCATCTTGCAAATAAGTCATGGAAATTTACCTGCAACGTTTCCTAACATTTCTTCCATGTAAGTATACTTGTACCAAAATTGGTTTGCACGTGGCATAATAACTACAGCACGATCCCAAAGATTTCTGGCATGCATAACTTGCCGATGACGCATTTCTAATTCGGCATATTTTAGCCATAATGTTATATTGCGATAATCAGTATCTAAAGCTCTTTCATAAATAGACCTTGCCCTGCAAACAAATAAATTATATATTATTAAAAAATTCTGTAAATAATAATCATTTAAATAATTATTAATTAGAACAAAATTCTGCAAGTTAATTACCTCTGTATTTCTTTTTGACTTTCTTCCCAAGCTGCATATTTTATCCAGTTACTTACATTTGAACGATTTCTTCTTATATTATCTTCAAAAGTTCGACGTTTTCTATGTTGGTAGTCTCGTAATTCTACAGGATCAGAAATCTTCTGTTTTGGTGGCTAAAATGAAACAAAATTTTATTTATTCATATTATATTTTCATTTTAAGAATAATTAAAAAAAAATTTTTATTCTGTCAATTACTTTCTATAAATAACACATAGATTCTAAGATATATTACTTGAATTGCTTTGCATCAATAAAAAAAATATCTAATTTGGTTAAAAAATAACATAGTAAACAAAATATAGTTTAGTCTTAAATCTATAAATTTAATTTTTACAGATCGAGATTTTAAACTTAATAATATAAGAGTTATTTAAAAACAAATAGAAAATATACTTACTGGAGGTACGATTTCTAGATCACGTTCTTTAGCTTCTCTTAATAACTGTTCAGCAGTAATTTGAATCTCTGCTGGAGCTTTATTTTTCACCTAAAAATAAAACCGTATTAAATAAAAAAATTTAAAAAAATATATATATAAACACATACCTTAGCTACTTTAGGGATCTTTTGTGGTCTTTCCATAATTAAAGTTTTATGTCAGCAAGCAAAAAGTATACTTGTAACCTATATTTTCTTTAAATTTAATTTTTTAATAATATTTACAATGCGTCATGTATTCAACATTCAAGTACTGATCGTTATATTGAAATAAATAAGGAATAACTCAAAGATCTAGTAATAATATTATCACTAAATATTTTGTGACCGTAAGTAGTTTTATTATCTATAGTATAGATTCTAAACCATAGAATAACATACAGAGGCCGTTGTTTGAAATTGTTAAAGCGTTATTAGACTCTATTATATAGAATAGCCACATTAAATATAGTATATGTCGTTTAATAAATTTCGGTAACACTGTTTATAAAAATATTACACAAATATTTAAAAATTAAATACGTTTATTAAAAATTAATATTATTTAATAATCAATGTATACAAAATAAAAATGGGACCTAAATAGTATTAGGTAAATTACTATTTTTTTGCTATTAAATTTAATTACAAATTACTCAATATATTAGGAATTAAATTACTTAAAAAATACCTAATTAACAATTGATGAAGTTATAATACTTTTATGATAAAAAGTAACTTAAAAAATGGAAGTTATTTTTTTTTCATTAATGTGTTAAATATACAATTTTTTAAGTCACTTACATTACTAATAATTGTGACTTCATTGAAACGCGTATTTTAAAATTCATAATGTAGGAGGAGAGAGGTAAACAAAATTTATTAATGACAACCTATCATAAAATATTTGAGACGATTTTTTACTCATTTTGAATTGACAATGGATTTAATTTTACATCAACTTTAATGAATTTATAGTAATATTATGTTAATGCTATATTTGATAGAAATTTTAAATGTTCGTTTTATATTTCAATCATGACTATATATATATAATGTAATTTATTATTTTTTTTAGGTTGCCTTCTGCACTGGGAACATAGTGCTTTTTCGCCACTGTAGAAGCGCACGCATGGTCACCCATCCGTTCGCCTAGGGTGGTAGACGCGACTTAACTTTAGAGTTTTGTCAACAACTAATGTGACCATCGCGCCAGACCACATGTAATTTATAATAATTATTATTCCGTATCCAATCCAATAATTTGTAATTGAAAATTTAAAAATATTAACAATTTTTTAAATTGTAAACTTGATAATATAAAAAAACTGTTGAAAAAAAATTGCTTGAAATATTACAAAAAATATTTTAATATTTTATAGAAATATATTTACAGAATGATTGATTTATCATTGAGTTTTCTTCCAAAGGAAGCCGTTATTTGGTGATAGGGATGAGAGGTGAGATTTGTACATTTCATTTTTGTGCTTCTTTAGTAGTTTTTTGAGTTTATTTGTTAGGGAGTTATATGTATGTCTGTCTTCAGGGTAGTGAGTGCTCTGCCATTGATTGCGGGCTCTCCGCTTCTCTGTTATGGGTAGTCTTAATTCAGGAGTAAGTTGATTGCCAGATTGCTTGTTTATTATTGGAGATAGGGAGTTGATTTTAGCGCTGAGAATGTTCTCTGTGAGTGTATTAATTGCTAGATCGACATCGGTTTTTGTTTTTAGTTTAATATTAAGATGGGAGTTAGCTAGAAATCAAGTATATCTGGATGACGGGTTGCGTGTGTTGGCCAGTATGTAGGCGCATCTGGAGCTAGTGCTTTAGCGCGTTTGGAGGACATGAAACTATAGAGTGGACGTCCTCTTGTATTGGTTGATCTGGCTCCCCATGTTGGATGTTTGGCGTTAAAATCAGCTCCGATAATATAAGTGTGATTAAGTGTGAGTAAGAATGTTGATAGTTCATTTTCAGGAAACTGATACCCCGGTGGGAGATAAGCAGAAGCGAAAGTAATTGTAATCGAGTATATAATTATAGAGAAGGTAATGATTTGTAGTTTGTTAGAGGTGAATGGTAGAAAAGGAGAATGAGATATTTTGTTGGAGATGGGTAGAGCGGCTCCTCCATGGGCAGTACCGTCAGGGTGATCAGCTCTGAGCACTTCATACCCAAAGATTTTGAGAGAAGACGTTTTAGTGAGATGAGTTTCCGATATCATAACAATATCTACTTTTTCTTCTAATAGAGTTAATTGTAGTTCGTTGATGTTATTTAGTATTCCATTGGCATTCCACAAGAGGATTGTGAGTAGGTGTGATTGTTGATTATCGGCCATTTTTAAGAAGTTACTCAATGACAGTTGTGAGGAGTGAGATAAGTGGATTAATTAGCGTATTTAGATCGGTAATAAAAGAAGATAAATGATTTGAAAAAATTTTCTCTGACGACTGGTCTGATTTTGTCCACTTAGTTGGATTTTTTGCTGTGGTAGATTGAGTAGTTTTAGAGTGAGAAAGGGGTGGAAAATTTTGAGTGGTTAAGATTTTTTCTGAGTGAGTTTCATCTAAGTTTACGTTTAGTAAGTAATTGTTTTTAATGTTTGAGTTGAGATGTGATTTTCTGTGCTTTAGTAATTCTTTATGAGACTGACAGCCATTATAGTTTGCAGGATGGGAGCCTCCGCATAGGGCGCATTTGGCCGGTTCATTTGTGTATCTGTTTTGAGAGATGAATATACTCGTATCAGATTTTTTTGGTTGGGGTGAGACGTTATTAGGCGATCTGATGCGTTTATTTTTATGGACTGTTTGCCAGTCATTTTCGCTGTCCGAGAATTCAAAGAGAGATTTATCGGTTGACTGGGAAAATCTTGATTTAGATAAGACTAACGGTGAAATAATTTTTTTTTTTTTGTAGTATTCATAGTTGAATTATTTAGTTAAGTTGTTGGGATAATTATAATAGATATCTTATCTACTATAATTCGAGTAATTGACCTCGAACCGTCGGCGGCCTTTGTTTTGTAATAAGTCGTGAAACTGGTTTATTTTAGTGAGCGGTGTGTTGTGATAGGAAATAATTGCATAATACCTGATTTCTGTAGTGTAGACTCGTCTGTACGCTATCGATAGCTATAATAGCGGTTCGCTCGGAAGTAACAAACGTGTTGCTCAGTTGGGAGTCGAACACGAACTGAAATAATGTTAAGAGATAATAAATAAAGTTTAAAAAAACACGGTTTTAAAACACATCGAACTAAAAATTATTTAAAACTTTTTAGTTTCATGTTATTATAGTAGTTACCATTAATATCATGGTAGTAACGGGTAACGGGAAATCAGGGTTCGATTCCGGGGAGAGAGCCTGAGAAACGGCTACCACATCCTAGGAAAGCAGCAGACGCATAAATTACCCACTCCCGGAACATGGTGGTAGTGACGATAAATAACGATACGGGAATCATCCTTTGTAATCGGAATGAATACACTCTATATCTCTTAATGAAAATAAAGCGTGTTAATATATATTTTTAATAGTAATTAGAATATATATATACATGTAATGCGACTTAAGTACGTAAACGTATCATGCACGAGGTATAGCTGTGTTTTGTGGTCGGGCGAGGCGCGGGGGAACGTTGTACGCGAGGCATATGCGGCGGCTGTAGGAATATATATATATATATATACACATACATACATACATATATATAGTAAGGCGACATAAGTACGTAAACGTATCATGCACTAGGTATTGCCTTGTTTTGTGGGAGGGGGTAACGTTATACCTAAGTTATAAACGGCGTCAGCGGCGGTAAGAATATATAAGTATATATACGTAAGGCGCATTAGACGCGGGCGGTATTGGTTAGTCAAAATTGACACTCAGTTATGTTTTCTTTGGGCCAAATTATAGAAACAAGTTTATAAGCGAACTGACAACGTCGAAATAATAAGCATAAGACGTTTTTAACGCTCTGTCTCTTTTAATCTTATAGGTTTATCAAAGCAACGTTGCCAGTTTGCTTATAACATATATTTTATTCGAATTTGACGCTCTCACTATTCGTCCTGATTGTTTTCAGTATTCATTTTCTCATATGTCTGACCATGGAATTTATCAATGAATTTGTTGCCGTTTGTGAAATATTTCTTCCCGTCTGCTGAAAACGGTTGTTAGAATATGTCGCTCAACTATACGAAAATTATTGCTATTAATAGACCGTCCGGTTGAGTTATTTTTCTATTGGTTATTTATTGCCCATTAGTATTGTAAATAAATTGTATGTATGAAATGTATGTTGTTTATTATGTCGGCTTACACAATTTTCGGTACAAATTATTCAAGCTCTATTTTTACTACATTAAAGTTATTCTTTTTTTAACAGAAAGATTTGTTATGTTTGATGGAAGTTTTAAATTTCATATATAATTGAGATTATATGTTTAATGTAATTAATAATAATTTAATCGGTTATTCACTATAATAACTTTTAATTTAAATTTAAAAAATATAAATAATTGTTACAAAACTATGAAACTTAATAAATGTATAAAACTGTATCATAAAAGTTGTGTGAAATATTACTGAAAATATTTTTTAAATGTTGTTTAATTAGTTTTAAAGAGTTATTAATTTATCATTGACCACTAAATTTTTCCTAAAGTAATAATCTTAGAAATATTTTTTTTTTGGCTTTGTTAAGTACTATTTATCTCTCAATTTATAAATGGTTAAATATTTTTTAGGTTTGTCCTTTATCCCTTATAAGGACACAAACTTTATTTTACTAGATGGCAATATACATTTTTAACTTACTTAAAAAATAGAAAAGGGTCTACTTTAAAAAATAACTGATCGATAATAACTATTAGATAAGTAATTCGGAATATATTAGTAATTTTATATTTAGGCATATTGAAATGCGCGGCTGTTTAACGTCTATTGATAAAAATGGTCATAATATATTAGAGCAATAAATTAAAAACTATATAACAATGTGGCGAAAAATTGATTGATTTGATTTGATGGACAGATATTTGAGAAAATGAGTACAGAAGTCAATCGACACAAGTGGCAAGAGCGACAAATGCAAATATTCAGATGAACAAATTAAGTGTCAATAATGTATAGTACTATAAATATATTGCATGAGAGAACGTGACTTGGTGGCCAACAAACTGACAACGTTGCTTCGATAGGTCAGTGTAATAACTAAGAACAGGGCGTTAAAATCATTCTTTACACTTACTAATACCACGTTGCCAGTTTGCTCATTACCTTTTCTTTTATTTGTATTTGTCGCCGTTTTTAAAATATGTGTTCTATTTGCTGAAAACGGTTGTTTGAATTTGTCGCTCAAATATACTAAAATTATTGCTATTAATAGACCGTCCGGTTGAGTTATTTTCCTATTTGTAATTTATCGCCTATTAGTATAGTAAACAAATTGCATTTATAAAATATATGCTGTTTATTATAATATGGTTTAGTCAATATTTGTTATACATTCAATTACCTCTTTTACTTTAAAATTGTAGTCTTTCTGTTTTGTTCATTTTGAGCAGAAATTATTGTTATGTTTGAGAGAAGTTTTAAATTTTCTTTTTACATTTTATTTTAAACTAAATATATATTGTAATCTACATTGATTAAATTTTAGTTGAAAAGCAATCTACATAAGATAATCAATCCATCAAAAAAAATATCAACAAATTTGATAACTTATGGTAGACAATTTTACTATTATTGTTATTTTTTAAGTTTAATTCTAAATTATAGTATAAACAAACGTTTGGTCTCCTGTAATATATTGATTTAAATTTTTGCTATAAATAATTGTTTTATCTTTAATCAAATTATATAAATTTTTATTATTTGATTCCCTTTTTTCTTTGCTCTGTTTATAAATGGAGCATGTAAATTTCTATTAGTTTTAAAATATTCGGTCTACTTTTTATTTTTAATGATAGTCCAAGAAATTTTTTTGACTATTTTATAAGCAATTGCAATATTTAAGAAACAATTTTATTAAATACAATTTTTTATTATCATTTTATTGTATTAAAAACAATTTTCTAAAGCATTTTTTTCTTTTCAAAACTTATAGTTTATTAAAAAAGTAAAAACACACTAAGAAAAAAAAAATAGAACCAAAAAAAGCCTATGACATAACAATTATCCAAATTATTATTTTAGAGGACGCCATACAAAGAATAAAATGATATTTAACATGTTTTGCGCGAGACAACTTTATTTGATCTATTTGGATGTTAGAGTCTTAAAAATTTTAACAAATTAATAAAGTAGAAAATTATCTGTAATCTAGCGTTTTTATTTTTCTTTAATATCATTTTTAGTATTTTATGTTCATTAGTAAACAATCCTATATTTTAGTTTTTTAAATGTTCAATAAATAACTTCAGAGTTGCGTTATCAAATCATAAAAATGTCATATCTCAGGTAATTTTCTCTTTTATAATTTGTTGAAAAATCAAAGATTTTGGTGACAATACAACTTGATAAAAATTGTCCAGCGTGAAACAGTTTTTTCACAAAAAAATGAATTTTAGTCTGTCAATCCAAGTGGCATTTTTAACATGACGAATTTCCTGTTGAGCGACGGTATCCGATTACCATCATTTTTCAACTGCTCCCTCGCCAACGATCATAACCAGTTATTTTATACTTTATTATCGATGCACTGGGGTACCATTTATCAGTCGTTTATCTAAATTTATAAAAATATTGTTATTATTGACGGGTGATGGGACTCAAATTTTAATTTTACTGTGTTCATTTTTATCATATAGTTACTTTATGATTTTTACACGTAAATTATAACGCCAATATAATGAAAAAATCTATTCATCGGAAATCTATCAGAAATGTGCATGGAACTTTTTTTTTGATACAATAAAAAACATACTTGTCACGAATAAAAGTCGACTGTTTACATTGTATTCGAGCAAAACGGATCAACCGTCCTTTTAGTAGCTGATTTTTTAGTGGTCGCCAAAAATAACTTTTTCCAGTTATTTTCAATATGTTAGTGCTTCTTTCCAAATTAAACATATTTTTATTTTATCTTATTTCTTGTTTCACTAAGTACCAACTACATACATATTATTAGGTATTATTAATTAGTTTTTAAACCTACTAAAATATTAGTGACTGTATAATGCTACCACATTAAAATTCTATAAAAGCGGGACAAGTATTAAAAAAAAAACAAGAGGAAGAGGGGTATCCCTTATCGTAAAATAGTACTTGTAGGAGTGGTTAATCTCACTTAATAATTGGTTTTGAGTACACTTTTATTTCTTCATGTTAAAATTAGACATTACAAAAAAAAATATAATAAAAATAGGATAAAAAACAAAACTTAAATAAAATAATTATGAACATTTTTTATTGATAAAAATGAAAATGTTGAACGCATACAGTAATTTTACTCTGTGGTTGAACATTAATATCTCGTTATCAGTTATAATCACTTGGATTTCATTTCTAAGATTATGGTTACCTATAGCCGATTGAGAGTTCAGATCATAACATGATAAAAACTAATGTCTAGGTCTCTAGGATAATAAGTAATATTACAGTCTAGATTTTAAAATCTATATTTTAATTTTCATTAATAATCTGATGAAACATAAAAAATACACACCATAAGTGAAAATAACTATTATTTGGAATTGGGACGAAAGTGGGTACATTTTTCTGTCCCGATTTAGCGGAAAACATGCTTGAAAATTGGGACGTCTGGTCACACTATAAAACGCGTGTTTCACAAAATACACAAAAAGTGGTATAATTTAAATATCAAAGTATACTGATTACAACACAATAAATAATTAGAAATTGTAACCTTTAGTGTAACGTTATAATGCTCAATGAAGCAAGAAATAAGATTAACTAAGAAATAAGTATAAATTCATATTTGGTCAGTATAAAATTTGTCAAAGAAATTGCCAAAAAGAATACACATAAAGGAATGTATACATGTTTTGTTTACAGCGAAGATCAAACACAAACGGATATAGGAATCGTAAAATAAACGCCATTTCACATTTATCAAAAAAAAATCGCATTATCATATATCATTTTTCTACCACTTCTTTTAAATTAAATTTTCAAAGAATCAATTAATTATGACATATCTTAAATTAAATTTTTATGAGTAATTTTACGTAAAATTTAAATTGTTTATAAATATTTAATGTTAGACATTTATAGACTAAATATTTTATTTTATTAACAGTCTTTTAACATATAAAACAGTTATATCACTGTTATTAAGAGTTTTATACAGATATAACATTTTTTTGAGAACATAACAGTAACTGTTATTTTGAATGACAGTTTGTAACAGTTATCAATCTTGATAACAAGTTGCCATCGCAAGTATTAATGCATANGACGAAAAATGACAATACGAAATCATCCTTTGTAATCGGAATGAATACACTTTATATCTCTAAATAAGAATAAAGCGTGTTAATATATATTTTTAATAGTAATTAGAATATATATATATTTAAAGGGACTTAAGTACGTAAACGTATCATGCATGAGGTATAGCCGTGTTTATGTGGGCGGGCATGGCGGAGGGACACATTATACACGAGGCATATACGGCGGCAGAGGCGTCGGCTGTAGGAATATATAAATGAATATTAACATATATGTATATATAAATATTAATATTAGCGGTGGCGGTAGGAATATATAATCTTCGCATAATATCGCGGCACTTTTGCTGGCGTCGAAGACACGATGTCCGGCGTGATCCTCGGGCGTCAATAGGTTAGCAGCGTAGATGACGACGGTGCGCGAGTGCGGATCAGTTTGTTGACGATGTTATTTTGACAATGGGAAGAAGACTACGGTATAGCGGCGGGACGTCGTCGGCCGTGCGGCACTTGCTGGACTTTGCACCGCGGCGTAAAACGACGCGGGGCTGTGTCAATTACAATAAAAATTTGTTATATATATATATAATTGATGATAAGCGCGCGTCTACGAGTTGGAAAATATTGTTCTCTACGATTGGTGAGCGGGGTGGGGCGAATGCGTTACAACAGTATAGTCTCAAGGTCATACACGACGGGATACGCGACATAATAACACGTGCCGCGTGGAGTTACAAACTTACAAACGACAAACAAACAACAAACAACATACACGTGAAACTAATATAAGCGTGTTAAAAATACAGATAAAGTAGTTCAATAAAAATAAAAATTCTACATAAGGNATATGCGATAACGCGTGGCGTTTGGAGAGTTACAAACATACATACATACATACAGGTGAAACTAATATAAGCGTGTTAAAAATACAGATAAAGTAGTTAAATAAAAATAAAAATTCTACATAAGGTATAATAATTAAAAATTATTAAAATATACATCGCTAAAAGAAAAAAATCTTATTAGTGGAAATAATAAGAAATATGATTTAAATGTAGTTTAAGAAGGCAATAGATATTATAATAGTTTCAATAACATGATAATTGGATTAAAAGTTGTCAAGAGTAAAGTAAAGTAAAATTGTAAAGAGTAGTCAGTTATCAGTATATTTTCTTATATTGATGTTAAAAAAAATCGGCTTTAAAAAATCAAAATATTTTAACCAATCCTACACATTGTTTTGAACACAAAATTGAAGCCAAAAAATGGAATCTAGTAACTTCAGAATAAACTTAGTTATTAATTAACCATTATCAATATAGATATGATAAGGATTCAATTCCAAACACGTGACTAACGAATTATAGCTCGTATTCATTGATAACATTAAAACTAATTTTTTTACTATTGATAAATAATAATAATTTTAAAAATACAACGAATATTAATGTCTTAATATTTTACTATTTTACTCTTAAGATGGATTCATTTGATATTTTTAAGAAATTATCAGTTGGAGCTAAATTTAAAAAAACCCAACCAAGTGTAACTCCAATCGAGGTATAAATTTTATCAAATATTTATGCTGTTTACAATCTACTATAATATTTTATATCATAATTATTATTTTATTTTTTTAGAACGAAAAATCTAAAATAAAACAAACCAAAATTAATACTGTAGGTAATCATGTCCCTTCTGCTTTGTCAACATTTGCTGAAATGAAAGCAACATATTCTTTAAATCCTACGTTATTGGAAAATATAATAAAATCCGGCTATACAGCACCAACTGCAATCCAAACTCAAGCTATCCCTATTATGTTACAAGTATTTTTGTTTTAGAAATACTAAATACTTTAGCAAAAAACTTGTTTTTATTTTCTTTTACATTTTAGAATAGACAATTGTTTGCTTGTGCACCAACTGGATCAGGTAAAACTGCTGCTTTTTTAATTCCAATTATACATCATTTGAAAAAACCAATGAATAAAGGAATTAGAGCTTTAATAGTTAGTCCTACAAGAGAACTAGCAAAACAAACTCATAGGTATTTGAATTTCATATTCAGTAAAGAAACTTTTTTTATACATTAACTTAATGTAATAATTTTTAGAGAATGCAGTAGATTATGTGAAGGTATTGGGTTAAGATCTCATACATTTACAAAAATGAATAAAGATAAAGAAAAATTTAATCCAAAATCTACAAAAAAATTTGGTAAGTGTATATGTAGTTTATTATGTTTGTTTAATTGGATTTTGATGTATGCTTTGTCTCAGCTTTCCAACTTTTTACATTATAATGTTCTAATCTTATTGAATATCAAGATAGTAATGTGAATGAATAATTAATTAAATATAATAAAAATTTAGTTCTAACAATTTGTGGAACTGCTGACCAATACTGTTACTTATTCCTTCATTGATATGACACATGAAAAATATGTATGTGTCTTTCAATTTACCTGCTAATACATCACTGATAACTAGTTAAATTTATTGTGCACAATATTTTGATATAAAAAATATTAAGGTTTTAATACTTTTTATAATGTAATGTATAGAGCTTATTAGAAACTTCATTAAAATTTCCAAAATTTTTAATTTGAGACTCATAGCAATTTCCTTATTATTTTTAGTATTTATGATCATTATAGTTTTATTATTGATAAGATTTTGACTTATTTGATTATTTTTTGCAAAACATGGCTTCTAAATGTTAACTTGTACTGGTAATCTATAATTATAATTATAGACTACTAATTATAATTTTCTGCGATAATTATCACTGAAACAAGAAATCTTTAGTAATAAACTTATAATATTTGGATGGTAATGAGTTGAAAGATAACTCCTGAAGAATGTGCGGCATCTGACTTTATCATTAATTTTGAATGATTATGGAAGATATAAGAGTGAAACCAAAGAGATATTTTAATAGAACAGAACTCTTGTAAACTAAAAAATTGTTTTGGAGAATAATTTTGTGTTGTTATCGCAATTGTAGGATCAAATGCTCAATATTATTTATTACTCATAAATCTAATGTACTTTTTACATTTTTAGATATTTAAAAGTAATTAAAAATTTGTACTCTACAATTTTTTTGACAAACCCTATATCTTTTATAAATTATTATGATTAAATTTTAAATAATTGGTTTTATATTTTAGATAGAATATTGTAATCAAAATTTTCATACATCTGTAGATTAATTTATAATGCAATTAATTTATTTTAGATATTTTAATAGCAACTCCCAACCGTCTAGTTTTTTTATTGCAACAAGAACCACCTGCTGTTGAACTCCAAAAGTAAATGAAATCATTTTTAAAATTTTTGTTAATTAAAAGTTTAATTTATGTTATTAATGAATCACTATGTTGATTGATAGTGTCGAATGGTTAATCATAGATGAATCAGATAAATTATTTGAAACTGGTGTTCGGGGATTTAGAGATCAGTTAGCAACTATCTATAAAGCATGTGGTCCAGAAACTAAACGTTGCATGTTCAGTGCAACATATACTGTTGAAGTTGCTAAATGGTCAAAAAAAAATCTTGATGGATTAATATCAGTTTCTGTTGGCAATAGGTAATTTTTAATTAATTAGATAGTATACATTTAAAAAAACTTCATATATTTTTTTATTGAACTAAACATTTTATTAGTTTAATTAAGTACTTTATAATGTTCTGTCTATCATATAACATTTGATATTTTAAAAGATCATTAAGTAATATTATGTATAGATTTTAATTTGTTTTACATTCGTTGTTAAAAGCTTCTTTAGTACATATATTACACAACATACTATCTTTATTATTATTTTTTAGAAATACAACAGCTATCACAGTTGAACAGGATTTAATATTTGTTGGAAATGAAGAAGGAAAACTAATTGCTATGAGAGATTTAATAAAAAAAGTAATATTATGTTTACACATTATTGTTTAAATATAATAAATTATAACAATTAATATTTGTTTATTGCTCTTAATTTTGAAATATTCACATGTAGAATAAGAAGACTACATTTAATTTCCAAAATATTTTAAGATAATTAATTTTTTTTTTAATGATAAAGTATTTGTTTTTCTAGATTTTTATTTAAATTAGAATTTTTTTTATAAAAATATGTGGAATATATAATAGAAGTATCATTTATATAAAAAAAATGCTTTTCACTGATATGATTAAACTTGGATAATGGGAGAACATGGCTCTTGAACCATAAGGTTTAGTTTTGGATTTATTGTTACAGCATTATATCAAATTTAAAGCTTAAATAATACCTATTATATTGGGGTCTCGTTTAAATTTTGGAATTTCAACCTAACAATTCTTCAAATCTTTATCAAATTTCTATATCTATATCAAAATATCAAGACAGTTCTTTTTATAGCAATAATGTATTATAATATAGTTTTACCAAAAATATTTGTGAAAATAATGAATGTGTTAGGGTTTATCACCACCAGTTTTAATATTCTTACAATCAAAAGAACGAGCTAAAGAATTATTTAATGAATTGATATATGATGGCATAAATGTAGATGTGATTCATGCTGATCGAACTCAACAACAAGTATACATCAATTTAGTTTTTATTTATATTTCTTGTGTTAATTTTTTGGTTGTAATGTTTTAAGCGTGATAATACTGTGAAAGCTTTTCGAGAAGGAAAAATTTGGGTTTTAATTTGTACTGAATTGATGGGCCGAGGTATAGATTTCAAGGGTGTCAATTTAGTTATCAATTATGACTTTCCATCTTCAGCAATTTCTTATATTCACAGAATTGGACGAACAGGTCGAGCTGGACGTCCTGGCAAAGCTGTAACTTTTTTTACTAATGATGACAAACCTATGTTAAGAAGGTATTTAGAAATAATTTTTTAATAATCTTCAATTTAAGCACCTTAAAAATGGTTTATGATTTTTAATTAATTTGGAAACACAATAATTTTACTTCCTCTCATTTTATCCATGATTGATACTACACCTATACTCCCTCTTATATGTTTGTTCCTTATCCTATCTTCTTTAGTCACTCCACTCATTTATCTAAGCATTCTCATCTCTTCTTTACTCATTCACTGCTCTATTCTATTATCAACCATCCAACACTATGAACTATACACCATAGCTGGTCTCACTACAGTCTCATTGAACTTACATTTCAGCCTCATTAGAATTTTTTTTATTGTATAACATACTAGACGCTTCTCTGCACTTCACTCACACACACTTATTACATTGTCATACATCCTTGTCATTACTACCAGTATTTTGTACAACTAGTCCTAAATACTTAAAATTTTCCACCTACCTTGTCAAAAGCATACTCTATATACTTTGTCTTACTCCTACTTATTCTTAATCCCTTTCCTTCAAGACCTGATCTCCACACCTCTAGCTTTTGATTAATTTCCTCCCTATTTTCTCCTATTGACACTATATTGTTAGCGAACAACACGCACCATGGTACCTCTCCTTGTATTTCTCTTGTAATTTCATCCATCACTACAGAAAATAAGTAAGGGCTTAAAACAGAACCTTGTTGCACTCCTACTCTTACCCTAAAATCTTCTGTTACTCCGTCCACATTTTTTATCATGGTACAAGTGCCATCATACATATCCTCTATTATATTAATGTCTCTCGATATTCCACATCGTCCTCTATTTTACCTTCTTTAAAAACTTTTTTACTTTTTCCTCTTTTAATTTGCACCAATAGAACCTCAATTTTCCTTTTCTGTTTTTTCTGTTTTTGTATACTCTCTTCCCATGCACCACAACTTCAAATAAAATATTTTGGTACTTTCAAAAATAGCAAATTTTTTATAGATTTATTACATACTTTTGATTTTTATTTTTTATTTAAACTAGTATGTAAAAAAAATTGTGTAATTATATTCTAAATAATACAATATTCCAAGATAGCTTTATATACACATTCAATATTATATATATGATTCATGAGCCATTTAGTTTTAAAAAAAGTCTCATCAGCAAAAAAGTTATAATTATTTTTTTATTTCACTTTTTTCTATCTAATTTCTAATTTGCTTAGAATAAGTAAAATGATAAAAAAATATATTTTTAGACATACATTTTCTTGCAACTGGATGACAACTTGTATTTGAAAATTAATCTTGAATAAATATATACATTTATTAATTAACAATATTATTTTTATAGCATTGCTACTGTTATGAAAGATTCTGGGTGTTCTGTACCTGATTATATGATAGAAATGAAAAAATTACACAAAAATGTCAGAAGAAAGCTGGAAAAAAAGTATGTTACAAGAGATGAAATAAGAGTTAAGCCTCATAGATACATCAAGTAAGTCATTTATTTAAATATACAATTAGTACTAAAATATAAAATTCTACTTTCTTAATTTTTTATTAGGACTTCAATTAAAGACAAATCTGCATCAAATTCTCATGTAAAACCTATGAAAGAAAATGACAGCATTAAGAAAACAAAAAACAAACAATTTAATAAAAATAATATAGTTTCTAATGATGCGAAAAATAAGAAAAGAAAATTAGACAGTTCAGACAAGAATAATACTAATAAAAAACCAAAATGTTAATTAGTTCTTATTATAATATATTTTATACTAAATGTAACAAGAATATGAGAGTAGGTTTTTTTATTTTATTATAATTGAATAGTTATATAAAATTGCATAAGTTAGTTTAGCATAATTTGAACTTAATTTGAGGAGTGATATCTTTTTTAGATATTTATTTTACTGCAAATTTTGTATTCGAAGATGCTAAATATTTATGACACCTCTAGTCAAGTATATAGAGTTTTGATTCTTTCCCCAAAAATTTTTCAAATTACATTATAATTAAGAGTTACACTTACGCTGTAACTATTACAGTGTTACAATAATTAATGGAAAAAGTAAAATATAATTTTAAAACCCAAACATTTAAATTAATATTTATTAATAATAAATACTAATAATCATTTGGATTGATAATCTGCTCAAAGAAGTTTATCAAATCTGATGTATAAAACCTAGGATTTCACTGTATTTTATATTTTATTTTAATTTTCAATAAGGGTGACTTGAGAAATTTTTATGTTTCGGAAGGATTAGGTTGATTTTATAGAATAAATAAAATAATAATAAAAAAATTTAATTACTTCCAGTTAAAAAAGTATTTATTTTTGATTTAACAATATATAAAATTATATATTTCATTTATATTATATAATCATCACACTGATGATTCAGTTTGACAAGTGATCAGTTTGTCATTGTAAAAATGACACTGTTACAATTTCCTAAATAATTCTCTCGTTTAATTAACTAGAGTACTGTAATAATTCTAAGTAACACTAAAAAGCCTTAAATTAATGAAACCAACCAAATTTGAACCAGTGACAATGTATATCATGCAATATCTATTATGTAACAATTTGGCCCGTACGTTTTATTCATTTCGCTTATTCTTAAGAATAATAATTTTCAGTTTATATTAATACATGTTTTTTAAATACTAATTTGTTTTGTTTATGCCGACTTAAATGTACTTTAAAACAGGCAAGTTTTCATTGTTTATCGTTATTACAATGAATTGTTTATTTAAGTCAATTATGAAATATTTTTACAACATGTTTTTTTGTGAGTATTAATGAAGTGACCAATAATATTAATTTTAAATTAATAGCATAGAAATTTATGAAATAACTTGTTAACAGTAAGTCTCTTTGTTACATTTTAAATTAAATTTCATATGGTACAATAACGTTAAATTCTCATCCCTTGAAGACTGGATAGTTTTAATTTTAGACCTCTATTACGCAGAGGTTTATACTCATGCATAGTTATTATCTGAAATTAAATCATCTTGTAGTATACCCGCCATTATGAAATATGAAGTTTAAATTGACATCTTTATGAGGGATATTTGTTGCTTTTATATAATAATTTTTGAGTTTGAATAAATTATTGAAGGTTAATATTTATTCAAGCTGCTGGTGATAATCAAGGACGTTAACATATCTGTAAGATTGCGTTTTAATGTTCAGTATATAATTAAGAGATGCAATATTTGATATATGTAGCTTCCTATCGTGACATTGATACCAATGTTCATAGTACGAATAATAAGTATATAATTTTGCTCTAGTTATTGACTCTTTTACCTATAAACTACGTACAATTAAATTTGATTTTTAAAAGTACGTTGCTTGAACGAGTTGGGTCATAAAAAGATTGTAAGCCATTGGTAAACGCCTGAACCCTGAGGTTAATAATAACCAATATCACTCTTATGTTACATAACGCGTGTGCTTTTATATATGTAGATTATCAATCTTAAATCTAATTTTTAATGTGATTTATGGTATCATGTATACTTATTGTTTAACAAACAATTTTTGACTTTTGTAATACTTATTTTTAGTCTTGTATATTAAAGTACAAAAAAACTTGTTCCAAAATCGGAACCCAATAAAAATAACGGTATAAGTTTCGGTTTAAATAATTTTATTAGTTGCTGAATTTTAAAATTATAAATTGTGGTAAATAAGTTATATAAAATAAGTCTCGTGGCGACAAATGTCGTTTAAGTAACGGACAATGACTAATGTTCAATTTAATATTTCCCTTTTTGAACGCAATTTATAACATTAACTATTATTGCCGATAAATAGTATATAACTTAGAAGTTCTAAGTATGTGTTATTTATTGACAATAATGTAATTTAGTAGTAACTTAGAAATAAAATAATAGGTATTTTACAGCTGTTTTCGGCGTCGGACATAAAAAAACTCAATATAACAAGTGCAAATAACTTTATAAAAAGTGATGAAATATTTACTAGGATAACGAAACAGAAAAATATTCTTTCAAGGTTCCATGGCATCACGAAACTACGTGGTTGGCGGTTTACCATCGTTGAATATGAATTTTTCTTATAATGATATTAAACTTAAGAAATTTAGTAATTTTAGAGCATTTACTAAAGTAAACAATTGCAAGTCCTAATATTTTTTTTTTATAAAAAGTAATTGAATCGTGAGTAACATTTAAGTTTATGACAATCATTTCCTTTAATACTCAGGTCAAGGCAGGTTACAGTTGAACTACATTATATTCATTAGATTGTCGCAATTTTAATAGTGATCGTGTACTTTACTTACAGCTATTTAGTAAGATTTAAGTTGATTATATCTGCATGTGGGTAACTTAGTCACTCTAGTACTAGGGGATGTTCAAAAATGATGTTAACATGTGTAACGAACAAGATAATCATTCAAATTCAATGTTTAGTCTATAAGGTATTTGATTTCATATTCTTGAAATTACTTAATCATAATTTCAAAAATTTGGTATGATTGAAGTTAAACTGCTTAAACAATTGATAGACGCATTTAGTTATTGTGATAACACTTAGGTGGGTAAACCGAATCAAGACAATTCGGTATGAGGTGCGCACAATGGACCAACAGGTCTGAGTGCATGGGCATTATGTCCACCTCAATAATAACTAAAACTAAAACTAGTTATTGCAATAATTTGCTCTAAATCATCAAAAAAGAAAAAATTTAACTCACAATTCTTTGAAACTTGCACATTAACTACAATACTAATAAATTAGATACAATATAACAGTAATTATTCTCTATCAAATAAGATTTATGGTTATTATTTATGACTAAAACTACTTATAAATGTAATATATTGATTTAAATCTTGTTTGTAATATTATAGCGTACCATTAAAAATTAAAGTTTATAATAAAATAAAATTATAATATTTAAATATTATACTATTACATAATTTTTTCTGAAAGAAATTGTAACCGAACAAATTTCTATATGTAGAAAGTAGATAAATTTTATAATACATTTTTAAGGTAATATAAATAACATTACCCTATACTAAAAGAATATTATTTTTAGTGTATTTGTATACATTGATTATTTCCACACAAACAAAAAATTATGAATTATGCTATTGTACATTGAAATTATACACTTTTATTGTACTAAAAATACACATTCAAAAAAAATCTCTTATTATAAAAATAAACTGGGATCATATTGCTGTCATCACAGACAGCCTTATTACCTTAATAGTTATTTAAAGTAAAAATCTAGTTTTTAAGCCACTACAACACATTAAATAATAATACATAAAAGATAAAAATGAAAAATAAAATAAATGATAAATTGTTTAAAAAAAAATTTAGTTAAATTGGGACATGGAATTTTGAGAACCCAACTTTATATAGGAACATATTTGATATTAATTAACATCATTATCTAATACGTTTAAGCAAAAACGTTCACCTTGAAAATTTTCTATATCTTAAGACATAATTTTTGCAACAATACAAAAATTAAAGGTAATAGTACAATTAAAATACATCATAGTAAAATTAATAACCTTCTCAACTTCGTATTGAAGCTAAAAATCTTATAACTGCTCTCTAAAAAATGACAAGAATGCACTAAACTACAATTAGTATTGTGTATGCTACCCAGCAAAGTGAAGCTGAGGTATTTCTTAGATTAATATTGATTGATATCAGATAGTAATTAAAACCTCTACCGTAAAACGCTTTGATGCGTATTTGAATCTAATTAATAGCAATTCAATATGTCCACTTAAAATTATGCAGAATTTTTGACTTTAAAGACCGATAACTTGTAGAAGATAAGTCGCCGGAACGTCTTCCTACTTTTAATAACACTAAATAAATTACAATTTGATTTCATTTTGGACTATGTAGATGTTCCGTTGCTATGCAAATAATGTATAGACATTAAAAAAATCAATACATTTACAACTTTGGGACAATTGTTGTATTTTTGAGACATTTCCCTTAATACATGGATTAAGGGGAATTTCAAGTCATACACAATAGTACGTAAATTTTTACCTAGGACTAGTGAAAAGTTGATTTTAATTATATTTACGGAGGTGTTAAAATAACACTAGTTTATAGCGTTAATGTGACTATCGACTTTCTCATTTTGACAATATTAGTTGTAGTTTAACTTGGTTTCAAATTAATCTATACCGGTAATAATTTAAACCAAAAGACTTGATATTTTTATTATAACATTTTATATTTCTTATTTTGAAATGTATCAATGTAATGTATTCAATTCAACGGTCTGGTGGAGATGACGTAAATTTAGAATAACTCAATTCGACCACTACTTAACATAGTTAGTTGTATTTAAACAACTTCAATATTTTCTTATGTGTAGCTTCAACTAAATACGTTTTATAATATTTTAACGTGTAGTTAAGTAAAATAGGTCCAATAGAAGCAGAGTAATCGTGTCCAGTGACACAAAAAACCTTTCAGAGTAATACCAATTACTATTCAGCTACACATCGAAGCTAAAAAAATACATAATTAATTGCTATTTTATAGATTTCCAGTACTTATTATATTCATTTATTGTAGCATTCATATTTTTAATTCTAAAAATACCATAAAAACTTTTACAGTACTTAATAAACATTTCTTTGAACAGTGAATAATAATATAAAAGTCTCTAAGTATGATTTATTTAGAATGTATCTATGAAAGTTCCACAAACAAAATAAATTTGAAATGAATTGTTGTTGTATACGAATAAAATTTAAGATCGCAC